AAATGTTGGTTTTTTGTATATTAATCAAATCAAGGAATTTTAATGTGAGTGGTTAACTGTCAACGATCTTTAAAGTCACATAACAACAACATAAAATTTTTTTAGTATGATTAATGATGTAACTTTAGCTTTCAAATGAATATAAGACCGTCAACTTATCTCAAGAATTGGTAGAATTACAAATTTTTGAAATTTTGGACTCAAATCGGTTGAAAAGGTTTAAAAGAATCAGATTATTTTTTTATACATCAATAGAGCAACAATACTAGTTAGTTATGTAAATATGATCAATTTAAGTTTTTATTATTTATTTATTGAATTAAATTTCCCAAAAAAACATTTAAATGATAAATTTAATTTTTAGCACCGCCACCAAGGCTCCCCCCACAAATGCTATCAATAAAAAATTTTTTCTATTATAACACGTCCATCTAAGGCTCCATATGTTATAAATAAATAAAAAACAATTCTATTATAACACGCCTACCTAAGGCTCCAGATGTTATAAATAGAAAAAAAAATTTAAAAATTTAAAAAAATAAATAAATAAATAAATAAAAATTTTTTTTTCTAAAATATTATCGCTCAGACAACCGAGACCGAGACCAGCTCATTCTATTACTATATAATTTCTTGGTTTTATATAACCATCCTTGAATATGTGGTCCTTATTTTTTCTTTGCTCCTCGCAATTTTCCGCAAAATGGCCGTCACCGAAACATTTAAAACATTTGTTTAAATATAATGATTTCACATTGGGGCACTCTAGATGCATATGGCCTAAGTAGTTGCAGAAATAACATCTTCTTGAATTCGTCGTGGTTTTGTAAATTTTGTTTTGTTTTTTATTGGTACTCCCACGCACGAAAATCCTAAATTAATATTCGTATTACCGTTGCTACTATTATATACTTGTACACGATCAAATTTTTTGCTGATCTTTTCTATATATAAAGGGCACGCAACTTTTTAATTATCTTGTGAAGTTATTTCTCATTTTTCCGGTAAAATACCAATTCTTGGTATTTGTATGGGTGAACAATGCATTTTTGAAATATTTCGTGGTAGGGTTGATTATGCTGGTGAAATAGTTCATGGTAAATATCTGCTACCAGATATCATTCTTTAGCTGCTCAACCAAGCACAATTCTTGATGAATTGATGTCAACTTGTTGGAGTGATACTAGGGTTTTAATGGGCGTAAGACATTGTGAATTCACCATTTAAGGAATTCAATTTCATCCAGAAAGCATTCTTAGTGAACATGGAAAAATCCTGCTTGGAAATTTTTTGAATCTTAAAGGTGGAACATGGGATGAAAACCCAGAGTTTAAGGTTAAACCTCCATTAGCAAAAACCAAAGTTAAAGAAGACTCAGTTTCCAGCATATTAGAAAAAATAGTCCTACAAAGATACAATGATGTTGAAGCAGTCAAAAAACAACCAGGATCATCACCATACAATTTGAAAAGATTATTATCGCTTCATATAGCTCCACCTTTAATAGATTTTTCTGCCAGACTTAGACAAACCTTGCCAAAATATCCAGCAATAATGGCAGAAGTTAAAAGAGTCTCACCCAGTAAGGGAAACATTGACCTTACAGTAAATGCAACTTATTTATGCAAAAGCTGGTGCGTCTGTCATTTCTGTATTGACAGAACCAAAATGGTTTAAAGGATCATTGGATGACATGAGACAAGCCCATGATATTTTATCTAGTATTCCAAACAGACCAGCTGTTCTACGAAAAGATTTTATTATTGATACTTATCAGATAATGAAAGCTAGAATATATGGTACAGATACTGTGTTATTAATAGTTGCCATATTAGATGATGAAAAATTAGCAAAATTATATAACTTTGCAAAATCTCTTGGGATGGAACTGTTGGTAGAAGTTAACAGCAAAGAAGAGATGACAAGGGCAATCAAATTAGGAGCAAAGGTTATTGGGGTAATAATTGTAACTTGCATACATTTGAGGTTGATCTATCTACAACCTCACAATTGGCCAAAATGGTACATGAAGGTGTGACTTTAGTGGAATTAATAGCAGGACAGATGTGACTGGATATATAGAACAAGGTATTGGTGCTTTATTAATAGGTGAGGCAATAATGAAAGCTCAAGATAAAAAGGCTTTTATTGATGAAATATTAGGAATCAAAAAGGTAGAAACTAAACCTACTATTACCAAGTCTCCCATCAGTGAAAATATGTGGTATAAATACAATTGATGCAGCAATCACGGCTACAGAATTGGGTGCAGACCTTATAGGAGTGATATTTGCCAAAGATTCAAGAAGGAAAGTAACACTTGATCTATCTTTGGAAATAGTTAATGTTATTCGTGAAATGCAATCTGATGATTCTAATAACATTAAAAAGGAAGATGGGGAAAGTGAGGAAAATATAAATGATTTGGAAAACTTACCAAGTAATTATGACTGGTTTAGGTCACATGCAGATACAATTTACACATATAAAAAACCATTAACAATGGGGTTTTTCAGGATCAGTCTGTTGAATACATCACAAAAATTGTACAATACTTAACTTGATTTAATCCAGTTACATGGAAACAAGCTACTTGATATGCTGAAATTCTTACCTAGGCCAGTAATTAAAGCATTTCATATTGATGAACATTTTTGTGCTCCAACACTAATCACACAAATAAAAAATAATAAAGATGTTGGTCAAACTCACGAAGGAGGGAATAAGTTTTGATTGGAATATAGCATTAAAGATTAAAAACAGTATTAAAAATTCAAAAACTGGTAAAGTCAATAACAAATTTCCAATAATTTTGGCAGGAGGATTGAATCCTGAAAATGTAAAAGAGGCAATTGAAAAGGTAAAACCTTGGTGTGTTGATGTGTCAAGTGGAGTGGAAACAGATCAACAAAAAAACAATGATAAAATTAAAGAATTTATTCAAAGGGCCAAATCAATCATTTATAAAGATGAGATTATTGAAACAGAAGAGAAAAGTCAAGATTATGAAAAGCAAAATGGAAAATCAATCAATGAAAAGTCAAATGGAAAATTGATCAATGAAGATGAATTTTATGATGAAGATGAGGACGATGATGAGTATAAAGAAACTGGCATAGCGAAATAAATAGTACTATGTAATATTTGTAATGATATAATAGATTATATAGTCTTGATATATAAATATTTATTTAATAATTTATTTATTTATTTATTTTATAATATAGAAAGAAATAATAATTTTTTTTTGTTATTTATTTAAATTCATTTTTCATTTCCCTTAATTTTTTCATTATTTCTATTGGATCTTGACCACCAGCAACTTTTTTCATGTCTTCATGTTCAACTCTCATGAAAGGATTAAACTTAAATTCATCACCAATAGTACTAGGCACTGTAATTTTGTTTTGAGTAGCCCATTCATATTTTTCTAAGAGTGTTTTGTTATTGGGATCAAT